CGCTACTTATCTACAAATCCTGCCTCTTAAACCAGCAAAGCCACGCCGGTTCCTGCAGCGCCGATGCTTGGCTGCATCCCTCAGCTCCAGCAGAGAACCCCAGCACCCTGTGACTGATGCCACATCCGTCTGTCCAACTGCACCCCCTGCATCCCACCACCGACCCTTTTCCCACAGCTTAAACCACTCCAAGCATCCTAGGAGGCTGAATTTCTTTAAGAGCCCATAACAAAACCTTGAAGGAAAGGGAGTCAATCCGGAGCTGAGCTTCATAACCAAGCGTGGGAGAAAGCTCCAAGGAACACAGCAGAATTTCAGCAGGGCACGGATCAGCAGCACGACCCCATTAAGCACTGACCACTGGAGGAGAAGTGCCTCAATGAGGAGCTTCTGTGCCCTGCAGGCAGGCTCCTGCAGCAGTCACACAGCTGTCCCGGCTTTGAGACAGATAAGGCTCAAATGATTCATTCACTCTAAACCTTTATTTGTTCTTGCTTACCCAGAAAGAGCCAGCAGCTGCTAATGCTAAACTGGGACAGCTCCCAAGCACAGACAAAAGCCTGCAAAAACAGGTTTAAGGAGGAACTGATTGTTCACAAAGCAATCCTAGAAGAGGGAGTTAGAAAGGAGAGCAGCGCCGTGCAGGAGGAAGAGGAAGCCAGAAAGCACCTAAAAATACATCTTTAAAGAAGCAACCAAGCACAGGACAAAGGCCTCGCCTGCACGTGACCATCACCCACAGCACAGGCAGGATGTGAGCTTGGTACACAGCACTCATTCCTCAGCAACCCCACATGCAGGGTGTGTAGCAAAAGCCACGGCCGGCAGCTTTTGCCCCAAGAAAGCTCAGTTCTGCCAATGCAACAAACGTTCTGGGTGTGGAATGCTGCCCCATTTGTGCCCTGACCATCCCATGCGTTCTGGGAGATCCACCCCAGCTGGGAACCCACCGAAAGCCAGCAGGGATGGCATGGGACAGCTTCAATAAGTTGAAAGGAAGCCTGGAAAACAAGACTGCTCCCCAGGTGCACCCTAAAAAACAGCCGAGCCCCGCTGAAGGACTAACACAGGATCAGTCCTTTGGGTTGTGCACCCATCCGGGCAACACCTTCAGATGTGATAAGTGAGTTTCCTGTGAAACAGCCAGAAATGGCAGAGCAGGAGGGCAGAGACCGCCCTGCTGCTGCTGCCACGGCTGGGGCTGCCACTGCCTGCTCCTCTCTTGCAGCTGCAAGGCTGCAGAAAGCTCTCACGTGGGCACAGGGCTGAGAATGGAGGATGAGTAAGCAAAGCAGCAAAGAACTTGACCCTACACGGACCCAGCGGAGTCAGAGCTTCAGTTCTGCCCCACTCCGTGCGACCTCCAGAAGGATGCTCCCAAATACCTTCAGCCAGCCCACCCCACGTCAGGAGACAGCACCGTGCAAGGAAGGAAAACCCCCCCAGGGATGTGAGAGGCACTTACAGGACGGGCTGAACATCACCAGCGCCGCAGACAGAGTCAGAGCTGTGCCCTGAGGCTGAGAACATCCAGCTAGTTCCGCTCCCGGGAAGCCACCGCTCCGCATCCCACATTCACTTCTGCTTCGTTCCTGCCGTGCACGTATCTGGTCATCGGGGCAGCACCGAGACGCAGCAAGATAAGGTTGCTTGAAGATGGGCCAGATGCAAAAGGGCACTTAATGAACTCTCGTGCACTGAGTCATCCCGTCTGCCTCCTCCGGATCGCAGCTCTTATTTCATGCTCACGTCGGTGCAGAAGCCTTTGAGCACAGCAGGCTGAGGCTGCTGGGTAGGGCTGTGCCCCAGCCGTCCCTTCAAAGCTGCCATGAAACGCAAACAAAACTTTTGCATGGCACAAGTTTGCTATTCTTCACCCTTCGGTCCTTGAACTCATGACTACTGAGTAAGGCGGCTTGCTCAGCTAACCAGCAGGCTAAGAATAGAGACCTTGAAGTGAAACCTACAGGGATTGGCAGCTATTTTGAGAGCCTTCAGCCGGCGGGGCGGCGTGACATAAGAGGATATAAAGAGGAAACTCTGCACAACAACTCTCACCTCACCGAGATTTGGTTAAGTGAAGGTAGAGCCTCCATCAGTGCTTCTAAGGCAAAACAAACACAGAAACAAGCTCCCGAGGCCACCTCCACATCAACACGGGATCCCAAAGCAGGGCTGGCAGCTCCGTGATGCACCCCAGGAGCAGCTCAGCCCCTTCTCTGTGCTTCCAAACCCCCCTCAGAGCCTCACAGCTCTCCAGCAAAGCTCACGCATAGAAGGAAGGGCTGCAATCGTGCCCGGTCACCAGATGTGTTTGAGAAAGATCTGGTCTCGGTTAGCAGCCAGCATTAAGATTAACATAAGGAAATTTAAATGGCAATCCTCAGAGAGGATTTGATTTCAAGCCTCAGGTACTCGGAAAACAAACATACAAGCTATGGTTTCTGGATATCAAGCCTGCCACCTGAAACCAGTCCCTGCAGCAGCACACTGCAGGGAGCTGCATGCATCCACCTCTCAGCACATGCAGAGCAGAGCATCAGAACATCCTCCTCAGAGCTGAGGAATGGTGATTTTCTCCTGGTTTTTGGACAGGAAGAAGCTGCCAGCGGGGACTCCCAATTCCCCAGCTTCATCTTTTATAAAGACACCCCACCAAAACCTGCACGGGGCACTGGGAGAGCAGCACACCTCCAGCAGCTGTTACTACCCTCCCACCTTATCACCAGCCTCTCTGCAGCAGATATTCTCACCCTGTAGCCACCAACACTCAACACTGGAAAGCTTGTGGCCTCTTAAGTGTTGCTTAAGGCAGCTGGAGCTGAAAAACAGCAAGGCAGGAAAGAGGAGACTCTTCTCAGTAGTTGTACCCCCAGGCTACGCACAGAAACATCCTCTGAAGCCTCAGCGCATCAAACTGCGAGTGAACCTGCAGGATTTACATAAACCTTGAAGTTTTGGATAAGCATCGAGGAAGAAAATCAGAAGGCAATCCTGTATCAAGCTCTCTGGGAAGTGACGTTCTCCACATTTTCTGTGCTGCCCAAGGCTTCACTCTTACGCAACAGCAGCTTTTGAAAAAGCAGCATCAGCATCAACACAGCCTTCCCCTCCCTTGCGTAAGAGATTCCCCTTCCGTGAAGGCTTGGTTTTGAGGCATTACTTTTGGATAGCAGTCAGTAGGGCTTTTTCGATCCTGAGCGATCCAGTAAACGCACTGAGCACCCGGGAGAGCCATCAGCAAGCAGTGCCACAAGCTGGCAGCCCGAGCTGCTCACCACCCAGCAACACATCCCACTCCCAGGTTGGCACTGGAGGATGCTCCAGGCAGAGGCACATCCTGCACAGCCAAAGCGTTTCTCCATCGTGATCAGAGTCCCTCCTGGAGGCCAGTCCAAGGTCCTCACTGCTCTCAGCCCTGTCCCAGCTCCCACATCTCCCTCCTCTTGTACCCCACAGTGAGCGCCCACAGTCCCAGCCCAGCACACGCTGTCCCCCACTGCAGTGCAGAGAGACTGCAGGGTGAGCATAACCACTTGGTTTCACATTGGTGGGAGCACTGGTTTAATCCAAGCATGCAGTGGGAAGAGCTAAGCCTCTCTCTGCTGTAAATAGCTCACGGGATGGAGCTGGACCAATCTGTCCAAGTGATGGAGCTTGTGGTTGTGATAAGGTGCAAGAAGCCAGGTAGCCACTGGAAAGATGCTCTGACCACAGCACCATCCACTGCATGGTGGACCGGGATTCTGAGAGGAGGGAGGGCAAGCAGGTATGCATGATGATGTGTTAATGCATCCAAGTGTCACACAGAGCTGCTGCCCCGCTCCAGCCCACTTCTGGGACCAGGAGCACCATGGACACCCTTTGCTCTGAAGCCCAGGAGCAACGTGGTTGGCAGCCTGGCACCAACTCACGGCTCTTTCCTCAACATCCTCCCATATTACCCAACAGGGAGCACAGTGACAGGGACACACGTACTGACTGCCACCTCACACACTGAAATACAGGTTGCTGTGCATCACCACCTCCAGCCCTGCTCTGCCAAGGGCTGATGTGCCCCAGCACAGATCCTTCCTTCAAGGTGAGCCCGGGGAACTTCCAAAGTCAGCCCAGCAAGCACTTGGGCTACGTTTACTATTTATAGTTTGATGACTGGGATGAAGCCACCCAAGCATACCAGCTTCACTTGCTCTGGCTAAACTCAAGCACCAGTGACTGAACCCTGCACAGCACACAGGGGCTCAGAGCTCATTCAGTGTTAGCAACAGCTGCTATATCTGGAAGACTGTTTCAAGGGAAGCTGGAGCTCTCCAAGGCAGAGAAAGAAAACAAATCCTTCACATACATTCTGCAGGACAGCGCTGCCCTCTTAAGCATCCTTGGCTTTAACAACCCCAAGTTTAACAAACCCAAGTTTAAAAGTTTCTGCTAAAAGCAACAAACTGCAGCTCACCAGCCCTGCGCCTCGAATGCTGTCCACCTGCTGGAAAACCTCACATCACATCCCAACAGCAAACACACCACCTCAGATCTCTGAGAGCAAGAAAACTGCCTGTAAAGCACTGCACCCTGCTCACCAGGGGAAGGCAGCTTGGCAGCACGGGAGTGGAGTGGCCAGACCCAAACCACACTCTCTGCAGGCACCAACAAATGAAGAAAAACATCACAGCAGCTCAGCACAGCTTTCTGCAGTGTTTTTAGTGCGAGCTGCAGGGCTTTCTGTAGTATTTTTAGGGTGGCTTGGCAGAGAGGGCTGCTCAAGCCTGACACGAGCCCACCCAGCTGCAGCCAGACTCAGCAGGGCCAGGACACGGTCCCATGGCCATCAGTCATCAGCCCCGTTTTACTAACGACACAAAGTCAGCAAAGAAGCTGCTAAGAGGAAGCCAGCAAAGCCTGAATCGGGGAAAGATGCATTCTTGCCTTCGGGGAGCATAGCAAGATAATGAGACACAGACCTCGGGAAGGACTGGATGCAACAGCTCACAGCACTGACTCACCTCCCCGTCCTGCGCAGCCGTCCCTGTCCCCACGCTCTGGCTGGAGGGAACAAAGCAGGACACTGCTACAGCTGGAAGAAGACAAGAGGTAACCGATCACATCAGAAAAAAATAAATAAGGTCTTGGTGCTTGAACCTTCGACAAACACGGTTCAGACCCCAGTCAAAGCAAAGGGATTCGCACACAACCCTGCTGGAGCTGGGTAATGATGCAGGAGCTGCCCTGGTTCAGAGCACTGCCAGCACTCTCTTTTTGCCCTCCTCAAGGTCCCAGCTGTTAAATACATGACTGCAGGATCTCTTGGTCTTTCTCAAAAAAAAAAAAAGCACATCTACCATTTCATCCATCACTTGAACAGGAAAAAGCCCCCAAGCCTGCTCCACAAAGACTCCAGGCACACAAACTGACGTTTTCAAATCTTAATATATTGCCTTTGAACAGTTTCTAAATGGTTTGGCAGAACTGGCACTCAGCCTCCCAGGAGTCATTTCTAAGTGCCCTGAAGTGAGAAAACTCTGCTTGCCCTCAGCCCAGCACCCCAAAACCACGGGTGGTGCCACTCACATCCCTAAAGCCACCTGCCTCAAAACACACCAAGCCACCGTTCCCAACCAAAGCTGAGCTCCCAGCACCAGACACAGCCTGGGTTTTCATTATAACCTACAGCCCAATGAAGTGTGAACACAGAAACAAAGGCCAGAGCCGTGACGCTCATGCTCCAGCCACTGCAAAGCCCCAGCTTTGCCACAGACACAGCACAAATCCAGACCCACAGCCTCAGGATGCTGGAGTTCATCGCTCTGAACATCTAGAAACAATGCTGCAGAGCTCCAAAACACTTCTGTCAAATCAGAGCAGCCCCAGACAGGACAGAGCATCACACACAGACCCAAAACCGGGCACCATCCCCATCCCAGAGAGCTTCTTGCCCATACAGGACACAGCCAAACTGTTATAAACTGCTGGAAAATGCACCTCGTGTGCACCTGCACTCCACCTCCACCCTCCTGCCATGCTGCCCAGGACAAGATTACACACCTGCATGGATTGGCCCTAACATTTCCACGTGTCCTTACACAAATTACGCATCAGAAAGGTTTAGGACCTGCTCTTGCCCAGCTCTAACCCCATCACCTTCCCACATGCCCACGCCTTCAGTGCTTTCAGCCTTGCTGCAAAAACTTTTGCTGCCATTTTCGCTCTCCCACTTCCTGCTCACATCAGGCAGCCAAGCAGGAAGGACTGAAATCCTCAGAGCACACCAGGAAGCACCAGAAATCTGCTGCGATGTGCTGGGTGAAATGCACTGCAGACACCTGGGCAGGGGCTTCCCAAAGCAAACAGCTTTGCAAGGAGCTGAGATCCATCCTCTAGGCTAAAAACAAGGCGAAAATCACAGCACAGCCCAAGTCCTGAGGGCGTTTGCTCCCAGAAGTGACAGCTCTTCCCTCCTGCATGCAGCCAAGTTTCCCCCTACGACCTCGGCAGGAGCCTCCGAACATGGATCATGCCTCTATCATGGAAAAAGGTGTGGGAAGCTCTGCTTTTTTGGAGCATGGGAACTGCCAGCAAAGACCAAGCACGGGATAACCTGCAGGTCCGCGGGCTGCAGCAAGCACAGACTGCATAGCTGGGATACCCCGTGTATCAACACTGCTTTTCTAGAGCAGCTGTTCCCATCCTTTCTGAACAACTCAGAGAGAAAACCAGGATACAACTTCATTCAACGTATCACAAACCGACGGAGCCGCCGCTCCCACCCTTTACAGCCCAACCAACAGCAGGGAAAAGCACCGGGAACCAATAAACCCCTCCAGCAGAACCCAAACCCCGCACCAAACACAGAACAGCCCATCTCACACCGCACAGAGCCGCACTCCCACCCCTTAAACCCCCACCCCCCCCACCTCCGGCCACGAGCATCCTCAGTAGGGCAGAACCGGAGGGGCGGACGGGGGGCAAAATACCCCCATGCGGACCCCCAGGATGCTGCCAACCCCGGACCCCCCCTCACCTCGGGCGGGGCCGTGCAGGGATAAACGCGAAGCCTCGAGGTCCGCGGGGCGTAGCGGCCGTTTTGGGGCTGTTGGAGGCGAGGATCCATGGCTCGGAGCTCCCGGGCTCCACCTGCAGCGCCGCAACGGAACGGGGAGGAGACGGGAAGCCCGACCCGGTCCGGCCCACCGCGCTTTGTCTGCGGGCGGCACCGCCCCGAAGTCGAGCTGCAACCAATGGAACCGCCCGTATCGACGGGACGGGTCGGGGGGGCTTCGGGGTGGGGATGGAGCTGAGCCGCCCCCCAGGGTTCGAAGGGCTCCGGGAAGTGGGGATCGAACGGGGGGGGGGGGGGGGGTTTCAAAAAGGAGCGTTGGGATCCGGCTCTTTTGGGGTGGTTTCGTATTGAAATGGGGTTCGTGGCGCTGTGCAATGTGGTGTGGGTGGGTGAAGTCCACCCGGTGCCGCCCCATGGCATCCACTGCATCTCTTGCAGCACCTATTGCACCTCCTGCAGCATCTATTGCTCTTCCTGCAGCACGTTGCACCTCCTGCAGCACCTATTGCAACTCCTGCAGCACATATTGCACCTCCTGCAGCACATATTGCATCTCCTGCAACACCTACTGCATCTCCTGCAGCACCTATTGCACCTCCTGCAGCACATATTGCATGTCCTGCAGCACCTATTGCACCTCCTGCAGCACATATTGCACCTCCTGCAGCACATATTGCATCTCCTGCAGCACCTACTGCAGCACACACTGTATCTCCTGCAGCACCTACTGCATCTCCTGCATCACCTGCTGCTTATTGTGCAGCACTTATTGCTTCTCCTGCAGTGCGTATTGCATCTCCTGCAGCACCTGTTGCTCCTCCTGCAGCACACAATGCATCTCGTGCAGCACAAACAGCTCACACACACACAGAGCTGGCACCAAACAGTCAAAAAAGCATCATCTTCTCAATGGTTGGACTTGCTGACCTTGAAGGCCTTTTCCAACCTGAGCAATTCTCTGATTCTGTGATCAGCAAACCAGGGCCCCAGCCACAGCAGGGAATGTGAATCCCCAGAAGTGTTTGCAGCAGGCAGCTGGTGGGGCTGCTCGTTGGGAGCACAGTGCTGAGCTGAGGTTTGTTTGGCCACGTGTCTGGTCCCAGCAAGAGATCCCCTGCGATCAGCAATGTGACAGCAGAGAAATCCCAGAGAGAGAAAATAGAAGGGTCGGGTTGGTTAAATGCAGGAACTGGGGAAACCTGCCTCCTGCAGCACGAGCTCTTCGCTGTCCCTGCAGCTTTTTATCTCTCTTCCCAAACCTGCAGGACTCTGCTTCGTGCTGGTCCAACCCACAGACCAATTTAAAGAGGAAAAACTAGGAATTGCACGTTGAAAATCTCTCGCAGCTGCACCCTCCGTGAAGCTCTGGAAAAGACTCTTTGCCATGCATTTACTTCGAAAATCTGAAATCCAGCAACGCCCTCAGCGAGCAGCAGCAGCACAGGGCTGGCTGTGGGTGATTGCTGCCATTTCCTGCCCTCTCCCTCAGGACTTGTTCCCCACTGCTGCCTCCATTGATTGGATGCAAAGCATCCGGCTGCTAAAAGCAAAGGTTGCTCCGGAGTGATACAGGATGTGCAAGCAGGAAAGAGCCGTGCAGCTCACCAGCTTTTTCTTTGCTATTTATCTTGCTGTCTGAAGCATATTCTCTTTGAGAATGGAATGATACCAATCCAGAATATCATGCAGGTCCACGGTCTGCCATTAAATCAAGGAGCGTAGCAGCTCTTTATTATTACAAATTGAGTCAGGTACTCTTTTCAGAGCAGTATTCTCATCTTTAAGGTCCCTTCCAACCATTCTATGATTCTATGAAATATGTAAGTTGTCAAGCAGTCAGCATGGATCATCCTGGCCAGCATGGTGACCATGAGCCAGCAGTGTGCTCTCATAGCCAAGAAGGCCAATGGTGTCCTGGTTGACCAATGGTTGACCAACAGTTAACCAAAGATTGACCATGAGCCAGCAGTGTGCTCTCATGGCCAAGAAGGCCAATGGTGTCCTGGTTGACCAATGGTTGACCAACAGTTAACCAGAGATTGACCACGAGCCAGCAGTGCGCTCTCATAGCCAAGAAGGCCAACGGTGTCCTGGTTGACCAATGTTTGACCAATGGTTGACCAAAGATTGACCATGAGCCAGCAGTGTTCTCTCATGGCCAAGAAGGCCAATGGTGTCCCGGTTGACCAAACACTGACCATAAGTCAGAAGTGTGCTCTCATGGCCAAGAAGGCCAGTGGGATGCTGGGTTGCAGTGTGCACAGCATGGCCACCAAGGCAGGGAGGTTCTCCTCCCCTCTGCTCTGCCCTGGGGTGGCCACAACTGGAACACTGAGCAGAGGGCAGGGGAGCATCCCCACGTCTCAAAGTAAGAAAGGGGAAAAACAAAGAAAAAAGCCACGCTTGGACCCAAGAAGGTGGTTCTCAGGGGTTTCAAATCACCCCCAAAGTTATCCCCTAGATTTCCCTGCTGACGGCCAGGAGCATCCTGCAGGTGGGGGTCACTTGGCTCAGCTCTCCTGCCAGAGGACAGCAGCATTTCCAGGAAATCCAAAGCAGGGGGGATTCTCTGACCGCCGAATCACACTTCTCTTTTCCAAAGAAGAAATCACTTCAGACTCGGAGCACAGTCCTGCATCATCCCAGAGCAAGGAGACCTGCGCTGGGCTGCAGCTCAGCCATGGGGCTCCACACCTCCAGAGGTCAAGCAGTGCAGATGCAGTGAGATAAACACCGAAACACGAGTGGGCAGCAGCTGGGCTTTTGCTGAGCTATTTTGTTCGCTTTTACACTACCAGAACAGAATATGGGAAGTTACATATCAAGCATGCATGCGTGCACGCAGGCTGGCACCCAATGTGAGCTATTTTCGGTGCTCTCTGAAGCTGGCTCAAGCTGCAGCTGCTCACAGTGAGTCTCACCTTCGGGGCTTTCCCTTTCCCTTTCATCGATGCTTTTTTCCTGGATCGGCTTTTCCTTCCCATTCATTTTCAAATCTCATTTATCTCCAGGTTCATTTGGAACGTTTGGCTTAAGCCCCTCTGAGACGATGCTCGAGCAGCACCTGATGGTGCTCTGAGCTTTGAGCCCACCCTGACCTCATCCCACGCAGAGCAGAGCACATCAATGTGCCCCCCGAGCTCCAAACGATGCCAAAATTGCCACTGTTTTGATGACAGACAGCTCATTCTGAGAACGCCCAATAACTTGACAGTGAAATTCCCAGCAGTGCCCACTCTGTATATTTGCATATTACTCAGTGACACCAATCCAAGATGCAATTCGTTGGGATCTTTCTCCACGCTTTAAGCCTGGCAGAAGCAGGAAAAAGGGATTTTTTCTCCCTTTTTAGCCCTTTTCTCCTGCTCAGAGCACTAAATTCCCCTCAATCCATCTTTCCCAAAGGATGGGGAATGCAGACAGGGGTTGGGCTTCCCGAGCTGGATCCATCCCTTCAGCTCTGCTCCTGGCTCCACGTGGAACCCAAGGGCACATCCCAGAGCAAGCTGCTGTTTTTCTCTTCCAAAACAAGAGCCCAGTCGGAAAGGAGAGGTTTGAGGCTGGCTGCCAAAGGAAGAATCGTAGTGGTCTTTGAAGTTTGTGATCTTCCTTGCAAAACCTGCCTCCAACTGCAAAAGCATCCCACCGAGAGCTCCCTCCATCCAGGTGTAGGGTAAGGCCAAAGCTCAGATGGAGATACGAGAGCACTGAACCAGCTGGCAGCCCCGCACCGCAGGGTTAACGCCAATCATTCACCAGCGATTATTTTGGAAGCACAGGCAGTATTTTTAGCCAGGAAAGCAGGCACCACTTCCCTTTCTGCCATCTCTCCTCCCTCTCCCAGTGAGCCAGGCCTCTTTGCTGTGGCCGGGTGGGGGGATGCACGCAGAACCCGCTGCTGGTTGTGAAAGAGCTGTGCTGCTATTTTGATCAGAGGAGCTGAACACGCTTCACCCCCATGAGTTTTGCAATCCTCGTGCCGACAAAGGAGGAGCAGCCACCACCGGCTGCCTGGGTTCACCCCAATCCCTGCCTGCTGCGCACAGCATCCTGCAGCCAGGAGAGTGTCCATGGGGAGGGTGGGCAGTGATGGCAGCACCTCATTCTGCGCTGCTCTGCATCCTCCTCCCTCTGCTTCTCATCCCTGTCTTCTTCCACCCATCCCATCCCCTTCCTCCTTCCTGTCCTCCAGCCCCAAAAACTCCACACTCATTGGGCCCATTCCAGGTCTGCACCCCGCAGCTCATCTCTGGATCTCACAAACTATGAAACAATCAGAAGTTTCTCCTGCTTTCCAGGAGAGAATGGAGCTATTCTTGCTTCTCCAACAGAGCTGTCCTTGCTTTTCCATCTCCTTCTATTTTTCTCCCATTGATCCTCTGCTTAGGGTTGAATTTGGGATGCTGGAGGCTGATCTGCTGAGCCTGCCAGCCACGGCTGACCCAGCAAGCAGGCAGGAGGTGGGCGAGTTGCTGACTCGGGCACAAGAAGGCTTGATGCTTTTTATTTGCTGATGTATGAAAGATACGGGAGCAGAAACTCACACCCTGAATTGGGCAACGCTGTGCTGGGCACGGGAGGAGCCTGCGAGTGGGGCTTTGGGAAACTGCAGCAGTGGGGTGGTTCAGGATGCATCCTGAGTATAGACCTTTGTGTTTTGTATTTTGGGGTCTCCGTTTGTCAAAGTGAAGGCAACAGAGGCTGAGGAGGAGTTCAGGTCACCCAACCCAGCATCAGCCCGCTGCTGGTGCAGCTCCGTCCCCAGTTGCCTCCTAAACACGCCGGGCAGAACTGATGCAGCCCTGCAGAGAGCAGCTGATGATCACAGCGCTGCGCTGTGACTTCTCTACTTCCATTCAGCAAATGGAAAACTATTCACATTTCAAAGCGAAACACCGAGAGCAACGCACACGC